GCTTTCTTGGGCCCCTCTTCCCTCCAGGGCTTTATCCCATGCTATTCTACCAAGCAGATCCCTGAAGAGGCCAAAGTCTGCTCTCCTGAAGTCCAGGGTAGTGAGCTTCCTGTGCGCTCTCCTCTGTCCCCTACGGATCTTGAACTCCACCACAAGGTCCAGCATAGCACCTCTCCTCGTTGGCTACTCTATCACTTGGAGAAGGAAGTTACCATCGACGCATTCCAGGAGCCTCCCGGATTGCTTATGCCCTGCTGTGTTGTCCCTCCAACAGATATCGGGGTGGTTAAAGTTCCCCACGAGGACTATGGCTTGTGAATGTGAGGCTGCTCCTATCTGTCTATAGAGGGCCTCATCCGCTCCATCTTCCTGGTCAGGTGGCCTGTAGCAAACCCCCAAGTAAACAATAAATGTCTAGAACATTAAGGATAGATGATTACCCAACAAGTACCTTGTACAGCTTAAATTCTAAAAATAGCAAATATATGCTCGCTTACTTAACATTTCGCTCTTGGTAGCTGCAACAAAGCTAACAGTGAGTTCCCAGCCCTGACTGCACACAACTAATTGAGGAATGTAACAGTCATTGAGTAACAGACGCCTTGAAATTTTTTTATCTTGATAGTTTACTATTGAATTATTGGGGTTTTTTTAAATAATCAAATCAACTAACAACAATGACTCTCCTGAACCTAATTGTCTCTTTGCAACAACTCCTGCTTTCCTCACAGTTCTTCACTCCCCATGCTATTTGTTTTGCCTAATTATACTGGAGTAGAGCTGGTTATTTATCTACAAGGAGCTACAAGGTTCTGTGCTGCATAAGCCCCAAAAAGACAGACTGGCTCTGCATGGAGTCAAGTTATTCATCTAAAAGCAGTTAAGCCAATGCAAGCTGTCTTCATGATGAGGAAATCAGAAAAATACAAGGGAAACAGAATTTCACATAAACATCCTTCTCCCCGTTCTAACATTGTGTGAAGGAAAACTGTACATCTGACTTAATTCAGTTTGCCCTTCAGCGTAGAATACACTGAGGACTAACTACTTCCTTGTTAAATAGGTATCATGTTATTAAAGCAAGGAGGTTTTAGGGACAAAGGAAGTGCCTCTGAAACAGCTGTCACATTGCTAAATACGAACCTACATCTTGAACTAAAAATACTAATTTACCCTGCATGAAAATGGAAGGAAAAAAGGAAATTAAGGAGAATAACTCTTTAAAGTTATTCTTTAATTTTTATAAAAAATTGACATGTCAGTGTAATCATCAGGGGTATTTTAAGTGATGGCTTGTTTCTAAAACTTGAGGACAACGAAATTGGTTCGCAAATGTTAGGTTTTTTGCAGGCTTTATTCTGTGCTTTACAGACATTAGTTATTATCAGCTCCTTTCACTTGAAATTTTTTTAGCTTTGGTGATAATACAGAAGCTAGTGGCCCATGGTCATAATCAGCACTTGCTGAATAAAGAAGGTAAAAGAAACAAAGTTCCACTGATAATAGAAAGGTCTTCTGAAATCATATAGGTTTCACTAGTATTTCAGTTTGGAAATGCATGAAAAAGCTTAGATAAGAATTACTATTTTTTAAATTACAAGTTCAGTCTTTTGTTTGTAAATCACTTTCTGGTTGTGGGCTACTCTCCTTTGATGCTGCAGGCTTCTATACAAAACAGCTCCAACTAAAAGTTTTGGTTAAAAGAAAAAGAAAAAGTTAACCCCTCTTCCCTGCCCCTTTTAGACTTCTGAGATGAGTCTGTGCTTCTTCTATGTTCTTTCAGTTCCAAGCAAAGCCAAACTATAGAGTATCAAATTCCTCTGTAAAGCAGAACTAGTGTGGGTTGGCAAGCTCCTGTTAAGAAATCCTATCCTACCTCATAAGAAGACCTGATTAGTCTGAAGATATCCACCTCAGGATAAGGCTCTACATCATCACTGAGCAGTGAGTGAAGATGAGGAATGGGTGGAAGAGTGCTGTCCTTATTAGTTACGCTGTCCAAATATCTGGTGGGGGAAAAAAAAAGAAATGAGAAACCCAAGATTCATTTGTACCCCCCTCCCTTCTGAGGGTTAACAGAATAAGGGTTACATATAGATTATTAAATGTAAAAATGATCAAGCCACTCTCTACTAATGAACTACATGATTTTTGACATCAGTAATTTGCCAAATCCTAACACTGCTTTTTCTCAGAGAGTGCTAAGGTAACCCTGGTAATTCATTATCCTTATCAAGAAATAGCTCAAATATAGTGAGTCACAAACGAGCGGCTTACTGAACAGGTTTGTTGCTTCTGGCTGTTTGAGTATGCCAAGGGAAGTATGACACCAGGGGAACAAGGGTCAGTGTGCTTTAGTTTACATACCCCCCTGCCCTACTACTGCCCAACCTTGCTGCAAGGGGATTTAAGGGCTTGTTCTTCCCACCAGTGCAGCTGCTGTAGATCATCTGTCTTCTACCCTGCAGCTGCTGAACACTTAAATCCTCAGCAAGCACTGGGGCTTACTTCAGAGAAAATGCAACCACAGTCGTCTTCAATCCCAAAGAAATTAAAAACAGACTTCAGTAAGGCTATACTAATGAAACCTATTAGGGAAAAATTTCCAAAATTTCCACAGCATCTTGATAATTAAACACTACTACCAAACACGAGGAAATCGAAGGTTGCACTCAGCAATATTAGTTTGTATTAAACGACTCAATCCAGTCTATTTAGCAGCCTCCTGTTTCACTGAAATCTATTCATTCAAAAGCCTACCTAATTCTTCTGAGTTCCATTTAGTCCATTCCCAAAACAATTCCCCTTGAGATCAAGGCTTTTCCTTAGCAGCATTTAAAATGTAGCAGGCAAAAGATGAAGTAACAAAAACCATGTAATCAACTAAAATAATCAACCAAAATAAGTTTCTATAACCAGGTTTGGGAAGTTTATCTGAATGTCTTGAAAGAAGAATTTATATCTTATTGGTCACTTAACATTATTTTAAGATAATATAAAGAGTACCTTATATAGGTGAAAAGGGACTGTAAGAGTGTAAAAGATGTACATATATCGTACCGGTTTAAATTGAGTATTTCAACATAGACGAACAAAATCAGAAAAGTAAGCAAAAAGAAAAATAAAATGAAGAGGCTTTATTTTCTGTATAAATACCTTCCCAAGACTGTCATGGCTTCTCCATCATCTTTACAGTTAAGCAGCTTGTCTACATTAGCATCGAGGACAGCAAGCGCTAATTGAAATATCACCTTTATTCCTTCACAGAAGAAACAATCCACAACCACCACTGCACTCTCAAATGGCATTACACTGAGGAATAGAGTGAGGAACCAGGACAGGGATATGGTGGATATTACACCCAAGTCCTGCATGCAGTCATAAAGTTGTGGAACATAGTCACGAGCCAACTCTTCAAAGACACCCTGATCCACCAATGCTCCTGTTGAAAATAAGTAAGGTTGGATGTCCATTAATTCGGGAGCAACTGACCACATCACCATTTAGGGGAGAAAAATATATATACATATATTCTATATATATAAATACAAAACCTAAGAATATTCTACATGATGCTTACACACATTTTCTCACTTTCAGACAAATAACAGATTCTGTTCCACTACTGAGGTGTACATACAAATTGAACTGTAATAATTTTTTTCTGTTTTAATTATACACTTCATAAGAGTTAACAAAGGGTCAGTTTGGTCTAGCACCTACAGAAGTTATATGATGGCTTAGTACTTACCATTACTAATTAGAATACTACTTCTCAGCATCACCTATTGGAGGAGGCCAGGGTGACTGTCTGTAAGGGTTTGGATTTATTTCAAGAGAATCCTGTGTTACACGTATCTATGCCATAACATCAGTGTCTTAAGCAGGCCAAGAAGAATAATTTCTAAGGCTGAATGAGTATCTCAAGCATTTGTGAGCTACAGTAAAGACACTTTCCATGATAAACTGAAGAGCCATTCACTTCCACATACACCAGGAAACTGTCATCTGACAACAACAGCTTTCAGATACTTGTGCCCTTTCAAATCAGAGGTAAACAGGCACAAAGACTTCTACTGCAAATTGCCAAAGCTCCTGTTTCCACCTTACCTTAATTAGGTAACTGGATCATCTAAAATTCAAATTTTAGCCTCCCATGTCTTTTTTTATTTACTTCGTTTAAGCCCACTTTAGAATGCCATCTAATCCTAAGGAGGTGAAAAACTATTAACTGTCACGGTATCTGCTTAGGGAATTGCTTCTATGCTCCTGAGCAAGCTGGCTTGCCACTAGCATTCACAGTTGCATCTATGCCACACATACATCTACACATATGCTTGTTTCAACACAAATAATACCAATTAATTTAGTTAATTTTAGTACTGTCATTTTAGAAAATTTCCCCATAACATACCAACAACTCTTGTGTTGTAGTAGTCAGGTAGCATACGTTCACACAGAGCCACCAGCAGCCAGAAAGCTTCCTCCTCTTTTGCATAAAGGAGGAGTACTGAAGTAACAATATTCATAGCCTAGAACAAAGAGAAATATAAATTGCTAGACCCATTTATTCAATATCTAGCACAGTAACTGGGCAGATAAGTGGTTACTATAGTTAGGAAATTAGCTACATCTCTCCCTGCAGACCCCAAACTGTTCCAGTATTTTCCTGTAAAAACAGCAGGCAGTGTTTTCCCAGTGCTCAAAGGAAGGCTTAAGAAAGCCTCAAATTAACCACAAAAAATCGTTAGTTGTTTTTGGTTTTTTTTTTTTTTTTTTTAAGAGAAAAAAAATGAATCAAGATTTCTTTTCATAGTCAAGGGTCTACTCAGGTCTGTAAGCATCCAGTTACACTCCTACTGATATTCTGCCAATAGGTGCTCCGGGGAATCTGCGTCTGATGCGGACAAAATGCCTCCTACAGCACTAATGATGGCTGCTGCTGTACCGCTCCTTGCAGAGGCAGTCTGCACTCCCCATACTTTCTGCTCCTATGAAAAGGTCAAGACACAGCATCTGTGAGCTGAGGCAAATTCCTGTAATATTGACAGTCACGAACAACCAGAGCATAGTGAAACAAAACTCTCTTACTGTTGCTCTTGCTTGTTTGACTGTGTACACGACAGCTTTTTATGGCCTATTTCACTCCATTTCAAATATCACAGCATTGTACAATGACCTCTGAATTGTTTGCTTACAGCCTTTGACTAGACCTCTGTTAATCTGAAGAAATGAAGTATTTCGGTACCATTTTCTTCTCAGTTTGCCTCCTATGGAATTCGCTGCTCATTTCAGATCCTGTAACATTTTAAGACTCCAGCTTGATCATTACCTGTCTGAAACAGCAACTAAGGTTTCAACTGAAACTCAGAACAACATTACCACTCTGTCAGTCTATGCTACTCCTTTTTATCTTGTCTACCATGTATGAAATACTTCAGTGCCTGAATTCTCACTGTAACTGTGAATCAGCATTCTGAATCCCAAGGCTATTAAGAATTACTGTAACAGCTTTAGGAACCAGAATCACAGTGTCTTTCTACTGTTCCTCTGTTAAACGACCTTTACAAAAGGTTATTGTAGCTATTACTTAGTATTATATTTGTTATTAAATAATTCGTGATGGTAGGTGTTAGAATTGCTTGCACCTTCACTTAACTTGTGTTGTATCTAGGAGTCTTAACACTCAGACATTAATCACGCTTCTTAATACTCATGAATTCAAGTTTCCTTTTGGAAAAACTAGGTAGGAAGGCAAAAAAAAAGGGCCCAGGTGATAAGTCAAAGTTACATACCAAGAAAGAACGATTTGGGACCAGAAACCAAAGTGACCTGAATCACAGGCATAGGAACTCCAAAACCATGTACTGGTCAGCATTAACTCTACCGGTACATGGTTGTGATGCACAGCGATAAGAGATCTTCTAGGGTGTTTTATTTTGGGGGGTTTTTTTTAGTTTTGTTTTGAAAGATTGAATAGTATAATTGAAAAAGAGTAAAGGAGGTTCTGGAGCGCTATTACAACTAATACATTGAATAAGTAGGTAAAAATTTAAGGCTGAACAATTAAAGGTGGGGGTTTTTTCCTGCTTAAACAAAAAGAACCTTTCTTCAGGGTCCATTTGTAATTTTCCTGCAGATGCACTTCAGGACAGCTCTGTTGCTATCCTCTGTCCAGTCTCTAGATTTATGGGCAGAAAATATGCTTACAGAAAATTATGCACGTCTCTCAGCATGTGCTGCTAATACTTCTGTTAGAGTAGGTCCTTGTGTCAAATCCCTCTGACCTCAGCATTACTGTAATTCTGCACATTGAGGCTTTACCTCACAGCGTTACACATGTATCAGTGTACTTTACACAGCCAAATACTCGTGTACATGACCGAAGAAATCGGAGTATAAGGAAAGAACTGGAATTCCAGAAATTGAAGGAGTGCCAAGGTATTTCAATTACCTGACAATATCCTATGTTTGGATTTCTAAAAGCGTAAGCTGTCAAGACTCTCCTTAGAGCAGCAATACCCATCTCATTCTGGAACGCAGGGTGTTCTGGAAGGGAGCGGTGCAGATCCCTCTCTATCTCTTCTGTAGCAAGATTATACTTCCCCATCGATTTCTCCACTAGGTCCTCATAATAGCCAGGATGAGTGGCCATTTCATTAATGGCTCCTGGGAGTGGGAGAACAGTATTAAAACCAGAAGAAAAAAGCAAGGGTTAGCAGATACAGTATCCCAACATGATGATCTTCTGCTACCCTTTCACGTTGAATGTCACCAACAATGTCACTTTGAAAGCAAATACGAAGTGTTATTTCTATAAAGGCGAGTAAAAAAAAAAAAAAAAAGGATGTGCTTAGGTGATTGAGGTATCACCCTTTCTTGTCTTCTCCTCTAGAGGCATTTTATAATGAGGTTAAAAAAAGAAAAGGGGAAGAAGAGAAAGCCCCTCTCTCTTTCAGCCAGAATGGAACAGGAGGCATGAAGAACAAACCAGCTGTGCAGTCACATGGTATCATGAGCTTGCTCTGCAGCTGGCTGTGGGTTTGATTATCCTACATAACTCAAAACATACCTCTGAGAAAGCTGCTTGCTCTGAGGAGCAGATTAATGCTTGGTTGCAGAAAGTATGATATCTCAGCCAAAAGCAAGAGACAGGAACCCCTGAGCTCTATTTCTGCTTCTGAAAATGACTCCGTCATCTTGGGCAGGGCACTTAGCCTGTCTTAGGGATACTATTGCATGGTCACAGGGTTGCTATGAGATTTCACTGCTGACTTTAAAACTTCTCTGGAAATGAAAATCTCAGCAGCAAAGGAAATCAAGTGTCAGTAGCACAAAGTAATGCACATGGAAAATACTAATTATACATACACCATGAAAATTGGTCCAAATCAGCTATTAATCAGACACAGGACAGATCTGTCCATTCCTGTATATATTTTCTGAAAACACTTGTTTAATGCCCAGCAGCAAAGAGAAGATGTACAAGATTAAGCATTATTAGGGAAGAAACAGAAAACAAACCAGAACACATCATTAGGTCATCATATAAAGTCCCTGGTGTGCTCAAATCCTAAACGGTGTGGGTAGTGGTAACTATCTTGGGGAGGGGCAGAGCTAGAGAAGGCATACAGTAAGTGAAAGGTTATGAAGAAAGCTTGAGCTATGGACTGCTTTCCATATAATTAGTATTAAATGAATAAAATTCTTCAACTTTGGAAAAAAGCCTAAGGGGACACAGATCTAGAGAATCCTTGATGGCACAGAAGATGAACAGAAATATTTTATCACCATTTTTCACATACTGGGGGCACCTAATAAAATGATACAGTAACTTTTTTTTTATTAATTTAAAAAAAAAAAAAAACCAACAGTGGTTCATGCAACATGCTTAAACTTTGGAATTCCTTGCAGCAACTTGCTGTGAAGGCCAAAAGCTTAATTGGATTCAGAAATGATTAAACAAATGGGAAATAGGCCTGGTGGTGGTTGTTGAACATCTAGAAGCCCCTAGACTGCCGGCTTCTGGTGTGCATTCTGCTTTTTTTATATTCTTCCCTAATTATCTGAGCTTGTTTGAGAAAGGGTATTTACTGGTCTAAACAGAACCCTTGTCTAAACCAGTCTGGCGCCTGCTAACAATCACAGCCTTACTTGCTCCAAATATTTTTAGATGTTTATTATCTGCACCTTTAAACATCTTTGAAATCCTTTCTTCCCTCATGCTTTTGCTTATATCCCACAGTCACGTTCAGATGAACACCTACCTGAAAATAGTAGCCAAAGTTCCCCTCTCATGCTTTCTGGAATGCCCTTCAGCACAAGGTCTCTGGTTTTCTCTGTACGATACATACAGACTCCTTGGCCATATTCAGCAAAGTGAATCTTCCAGGCCTGTTCCTTCAAAAACTCTTTAGCCTAAAAGCAAAGAAAGGCAGGCATAAAGATGCAGTTTCTCTTTCTAACACTGCCCCACTGAAATGCTAAGTGCTAAAAAGCCTGCAACATCCTAACTTTCCAAGCGAGCAAGAATAACTTGGCTACAGTCCAATTCTCTTTTTAATGGGCTGCGTCCTCCCATTTCTTAGTTTCTATCCCAGTAGACCTTGCTGTTAAAAGCATATTGTTGAAGCAGTTCTACTTAAGAGCAGGCATACCACCTCTCCTTGATTTACATCCAACTTTGCTTTTTTATGTAGTGAAGTTGTTTGTATTGGTAAAATGACAACATGTTCAATGCTTTATTTCTGTGAAAAATTCTGCCTCTTAACTGTCTGTGGCAGAATGAAACTCTTCTGGGTCAGAAACACAGAATTTAAAGAAAACATAATTTAACAACTTTTTCAGTCAGGTACAGCACTCCGAGGTGTATTTTACCAGCTTGGGGTTGAACTCCTCAGGTGACCTCCGCCGATACATTGTCATTAAAGCTTGAGTTGCTGTTGGAATGCCATTGTCATTGAGATTGAACTGTCGTTCTCCCTCTGACTCAGAGCTGAGGCTTTTATGAGGGCTGGCAGAAATTAAACTACTTGATCTTGTAAACACCTGTAGAAAGCAGTCACAAGCAATACAGACAAGGGGTTGAGCCAGAGCCTGGACTTACACACTCATTTTACTTCAAAATTTATACATGCTAACAGCTAACAAAAACTGAGCAAGTTAAATCACCCAGCTCACAGGCTGAGCATATGACAGCAGAAATTAAACCAGTATGGAATAATGAAATTGTTTCCAGTTTCTCAATAGCTCCCCGCCCCCCCCTCCCCGCCCCCATCCGGAAAAGCAATCAAATCCTATAATTAGAATTGCTAAGGTAGTGTTAACTTTAAGTAGCCCTGGGCAATTAAACTAGCTCCCTTGGTCTCCTGTCAACATCATAGGACTGTTGACTCCCCAGGTGGCTCCTTGACTGTCCAGAATGTAAGATTTATATATAACATATATTTATATGTGTGTGTGTGTACACATACACACACACACGTTTATATCTGTATATATGTTTATACAGATATACACAAAATAAATTATTTTGTTCCCCTCACTTAAAAAACGTTCTACAGAAAATTCAACACTGCCAGATTGTGATTTGGAAGAAAAATACTTTGAAGAAAAAGGATTTTCTGACTTCTCAAACAGCTTTGAAAATTTATCACAGTAAGATCTTATATAGCAGTTCACACCAAACGCCTGAAATTGAAATTAGTAGTCATGCATGTCTACATATGCAGTCGTATTGCTAAAGGTAATAATAATGCTTGCAATTATTAATTTGTGTTTATAATTCAGTAGGTAGAATACGTAGATCCATTTAGGGCAAAAAGCAAGACAAAGTTTCAGCATTATACATACATGTATATGTGCTCTGGTATACAACTATAACAACACTGCAATTATACCTCACCATCAGCAAAGTAAGTAAAAAACTGACTTTTAAGATTTACATGGCAAACAGGGTAGGGCTACCCATCGCAATACTAAGGTATGGCTTAGTACAGACTTGGAATGTGAGATCTACCTATGTAAAACCAAAATGATACACCACAAAAGCCTTTTCTGCTTTGAGATCTGAACTGCTAAACTTTGCTGGGTTTAACAGATCTCATGAGGTGATATGAAGCACCTAAATTTCATACGTAAGACCTAGGAATTCAGCAGAAGCCTTGCTATTCAAAATGCCTGAGAAAAGTTTATCTAATCATATCTTTTAAGAACTATGTACTTTGCATAGGTAAACAGGGAGGTGGTTCAGAATAAGGCCATCTGATGTCCAGGACAGGTGGTTTTTTTTTTTGTTAGTTCAAATGTTCCAAAGTTCACTAGCAGTGCACATGCAAACTTGCTTCAGCTCAGACATCATTTTCTGAAGAATCAAAGGATGAGATTTAGCAGCTAGTCTTGAATAAAAAGAGTTTCACATCAACTGATAATTTCTTCAAATTATTAAAATTCCACAATTACTCTTTGACTTGGACAAGTCGATAGATAGCAAACAGTATTATTCAATTAGCCAGTTAGTTAACTATGACAATTTCCAACAAGATATACTGCAATTTCAGACTGTGGCAGCAGGAGTTAGAGTAGCTCTTCCACAGCAATGGTGATTTCTCTTAGGTTTAACATGAAAAAAAAAAGATATCCTAGTCGTAACATTTTAACTGTTCAGCTTAAGGAAGCTTATGGCACTAACACAAAAGATGTAACATTTCTGTGTACAAAGGTTTAGCTTTACAAAAACTTAAAGGTTTTTCCTGGCTTCTCTCTCCCCACACCAGTTAAAATCCCCTTCTTCTAGTAAACAATTCATGTTTCTCCACATACCTCATCATCTGAGCTGATAGAGCTTCCAGAAATATTTTTTTCCAAGTATATTTTTGAAGTGGTTTGTTGCAGAAAGTCTGAGATCCTTTGTACAAGAAAGTCTCTGTCTTTCAAGTTGGCAAAAAGGAATGTCATTCTGTTTTTCGTGCTGATAGATAATGGGCTGGGCAACACACTGGAGCTGTCTGCCTTTTCCACTATTGTCACCTAGGGAGAAACAGTAGCTACAGCTTAAGATCTTTAATTAAACAAGTTGCTTGGTCTAAGAAACCATCTTAATACAATAAACCCATGACCCTTCCCCCCTTATACTGAATCACTATGGACATCCCTCTGCGGGAAAACAGGATTTGGATACAAGGACTTACAAGTCTGAAAGATGAAGACTCAAACAACTGGCTTCAGTATATTCTCCAGCAAAATGCCTTTGCACCGTTTAGTTTATTTTCCTCAGGCTTTATTTTAAAAGAATCAGTAAAACAAAATTTCATCTGTGGGATGCAGATCTATGGGCTTTTTTGTAGGACCTCCGAATCCCTCTCCTGCTCCCCAACACAAGAACGGGCTGAATCAACAGAGACTTTTGCTTACTTTTTATTGCCAATACATGTGAATAAACCATTTTTGGGATAACACTCCTGTTCTACTATACTCTAGTTGCATACTGTGATAACAACTGTTATTGCAACTGTATTTTCACGGTACACAGAAACCTGCAACAAAGGGAAACTAACCCATGTCTTCCCTTACGAAGGAAAACATCTAACCCTGTGAGGTGGAGGTTTCTGTTTGGCCTTCAATTGTTAGTGAAATGGTCACTAATCTAACTGAACTCCAACCTGTAAACAGTACTCACACCACAGTCTACTGAGTACAGGGCACTAGTTCCCTGAGCTTTTGGTAAAGCACACTAACACAAAGAAATCTCAGGGATAAGTCATACTGTGGATGAATTTTATAACAGATGTGTGTTCTAAACATTACTAATTATTAACCTTAAAAACAAATTAACCAATCAATCAAGTTTGTGCAGTTCCTACATTGAACAAAACACAAATCACAATTGTAAGTACTTTTAACCACTGCTTTTATGACTTTAAAAAAATTCCTAAGTAATGAAAACTGTCTTACTGCCTTCAGAATAGAAGAGGGCACATTTCAGTTTACCAGGACCTTTACTTTTTCTCTTTTTTTTTAAAGCCTTTTAAAAATAGAGATCAATGGTAAAACATTAGTGCTACAATATTAATATTTCTCTAGCTAAAAGGATAGGATAACCATTTTTCACACAACATTTTCTTTGAAGATGTATTTAAAGACTGCAATGCACAGCTCAGGTGCTAAATCACTTCTCTATCCTTCCAACTTCCTTTTATTTTTCTGTTAACTACAAATCTATTAGTTCTTCATTAACTTAAAGAAGCTTCACTAATAGCATACTGCTAAAAAGTGTTCTTATGTCGTTTTTCTGTTCCATTTAAAAACTGTTTGAGCGTAATCAGCACGAAAGAAAGACAAGTTCTAGAGGCACAGGACAGACATTATAGCAAGCACGCTCTGCTAAAATGAGAGCAAATATCCACCTATTTCCTACTGAAGTAGAGACAGATCTGAAGTGCTGATCTTGGAGACTGCACCTACTGGGTGCAGTGAGCAGTGCAGTCAGCCACTGAAAATCATCTTTTCCGATCATAATTTCTGAATCAATGCTTTGTTATTGACTCATTTGTCAAAACATCTCCAGGATATCACTGAATACTGGAACTAGGTTAGGGCCTGACCCAAAGCTTTAATTAAATAGAAAGCTTCCTTTTAATTATTAAGGGTACTGATCAGTTGTTCTGAGGACTAGTGCTACCCAGTGTGTTACAGTTCTTGCTGGTGCTGAGACTTAACCTGTTCACACAGCTTCAGCTATTTCTTTCTCTAAAAGCTTTAGAGCTGCTTTGAAAACCACAGCTGCAGCAGCTGTGGTTATCAAAAGCAGCTGCTGAATCTGCATGCTACCCAGCGTGTTACAGTTCTTGCTGGTGCTGAGACAACCTGTTCACACAGCTTCAGCTATTTCTTTCTCTGAAAGTTTTAGAGCTGCTTTGAATCCCATGCTGCTGCAGCTGTGGTTATCAAAAGCAGTTGCTGAATCTGCATCCAGGAAAAGAGGTCCTGTTAAATGCAGACTTTGTTCTCCTCCTCCACCACTTTACCTGGAGGACCGTTGGTCCCTTGGAGTTCCATACAAACAGTGCAACAGTGCAACCAGAATTGAATGTCTCAAATAACCAAAGTCATTGCAACACACTCTGGAAAAGCTGTACTTCAAAGTTTCCAAACAAATACCATTTGTTTTTACTCTTAATGATTTGGGGGCGGGGAACAGTGCCTTGAAATATTCCATGGTTCTTCAGTCAAGCCAAACTGTTCTTGATTACATCAGCTTTGCTACTATTTCCAAGACTTACTTTACACATTTTTCCATTAACCCACAAATCAAGTCAATCATAAAAAAACTCCCCAACATAATTTTTTTTTATTGCATCAAACTTAAATTCTTTTTACTGAACATCTGCTTTAAGTAGCCAGCTTTAAAAAGGGAAGCACACCAATTTGCAAAATGCTGACAATTATTTTCCATATACAGGAATAAGTGATTGCAAGTCTGTGTGAAGAGACAATTCAAATCTTTAGGATTATGAATCTTTTTACATCTGACAAAAGCAAATCGTATATGACAGATTCTTTAATAGAAGTTCCACTCATCAATCTAGCAAATTTTATCCTCCCTCCCTCCCTATGAGGCACAAAAAGTGTACCATGGGACTGTAAATCAGAATATTAATTATGGGAGAGGAAGGACTCATGAGGGTTGTAAAAACTGACAGAGAAAACTCCCTGTGAATTTTAGTAGTAGGAACTTTGGGCTAAGATACACAGTCATTAAATATTACTTAGAACACATCAGAATCGTATGCTCACAAGAGATTAAAGGGATGAAAAGAGGTTTTTCTCCAATAATGAAAAAAACATCAAAGCTAGGATGCAATTTCCAATAGGATATTGCTTTATTATTTGCCCTATAAATTTACAAATACAAATATTTACCTCTCGAAGAGGGATAATAAGGCTGCACAAGTTCTCTTCTTTACTAGTAAAGCAAATGTAGTTTGTAGAAACAAACATCTGACCCAAAATATGCATTTTATTGAATGGAGTCCAGAGAGTACAGTCTGTGTGTCCATCTAATTTCTCATCCTTGGGAAGTCGGAACAACGCACGGTATCTCTCACTCTTTGCTCTGGCATCAAGATCCCTAAAAAAAACCCACAGAAAGCTTTTCTTATTTTAAGAAATAAATAATACATTTTAAGATGTATTTTATACAAATCATTGCAAGTTACCTGCAACATACAACTCAGTTAAGCACTGAGTATACAGCAAAACAGTGGAAATAGTTTGCATATAGGGGATGTACAGTGTCCGCTCCTGGAAGATTCTAAAGCCACATGAAAAAAATTCTGCCATGAATAACTTAGATACATTGGTCCCGACTTCTCAGAGGGGACAGATTGGGTGATCTTTTCACATTCAGCCCTGCTTTCTGAGAATTTATACAGTGAATCCATTTATTATTAAATAACACATGATCCCATGTAATATTACACCAAAAATACTTCTTTGAGGCTTATTTATTAACATGATGGAATCCTTACGACTAGTGTTTGTTAAAAATTTCAAGACTCCATCTTGATAATGCATTCAGTGCAAAACACTGAATAGTTAGAAAGACAAACCTAAGTGATATAATGCATGTCAGATGTATATAAACAAGCACTGGTTACAATTCTGTATGGTTCACTAACATGATAAACATTAAAATAATGAAAAAATTAACAAGAAACTATCAAATTGCAGTATGGTATCTATAAAAGAAGCAGAGATATTTTCCAGATTATTTTTCATCCCCTAGAATTTTATGACATTTTTTGTATCCCTGTTACCTAAAATAAGTTCTAGAGAGAATTCATCATCTAGAGTAATTTTTCAATTCCAGTTATAGGACCAAGTGTGACTGTTAGGCACATTTCTTAATAACACTTAAATCGCTTTATTTCCTTCCCCTGGTAACATAGAAGAGCCTTACAATAGATACCTAATGCAGCCAGTGTCAAGAGATACGTTAAAGAAATTCCAAGAAAATGAGAATTTGGCTCAAATACATTTCTTTTATTTTTGCAATATGTTTGTATTAAAATGTTTTCCCTTTCCTATTTCAACAGGAGACCAAGTGATTATATTTAAATAATTATTCACTTTTGCCACTGCTGGAATCAATCATTCCTTTTGGAGTAACAATAAATGGCAGCAACATTAGAAAACTTTTGGACAAATTGCTGCAAGTAAAAGGACCGAGGAGAAACAAATGACTAAGAGTCAGTGCTACCTACCGTTTTAGTGCAGATACTTTTTTTGGGGATTTCTTTTTCAGTTTGGGTAATGACCTGTCTTGTTCAAATCCTTCATTGTCCAAAAGCTGTCGCATAGCTATATTGGCAAGCTGTTCCATTAGTTTAAATGTCTCACTGATATTAAGGAATACTGAGAAGAAATGTTCACTTGACCTTGTGCTCACTTTGATCATATCGGGGAAGAGCAGTGTAGCATTCTTCTCAAGTTGAGTGATATCGACCCAGCGGATAACTAACTTTGCTGAACAGAAGCAAACAAAAAAGATTCAGTACAAAATTTAGCATATTCAAAAGCATTTATCTTCCTCTTCCTATAAAATGTATTCAGCTGAAATTTTCTTGCATCTTGAAAAGTTGGGAGGACAGCATAAATAGACCCAGCTTGTACAAACAAACTATGATCACCTGACAGAGTTAAAAAAGTTTAAATATCATTTACTTCTGTACAGAACACCACACAAAAGCATTACAAAGCTAGGTGGGCTAACCTAATTTATCATTGCCACAGCACTTGCTCAGACTCTGACGTCCTGTTTTCCTATGGAAGCAAAGAAACGTAGTCTAAACACATCAGACAGGCTTGTGTTATATTTATACATTAAAAAGTTTCAAATATTACAATAACGACAGATCCTTGGCTTTTCTTCCAACACTACTACAGGTTAGGATATGGTCCTCAAAACAGGGACTAAATCTACATTTATTTTTGTCAAAAAAAAAAAAAAAAAAAAAAATCCAGTCATTCACTAGGGTATGTCTACACAGCTAAATAGAAAGACCTGGGACTGATCCATTGCCCATAATGAAGTACTGCAGACTCGCTCCCCTCCACGCTGCTTAGAATTAACTCCCTCTAGAGCAGACTGGTTGCATCCACACTATGTAGTTCTTGATCCTGGGTCTCCTCTGAGCCCTTTACGATGCTCTGGTGTTGTACAAGACTAAATGTGGTATTTGAGGTTGCAAAGTCTGCCAGAGTAATACTGGAGGATTGTATAAGAGCAGAAGGAGCCAAAACTGGTGTGATCTCATCCCTATTCCCTTTTGGGCACAGTCCCTGAAGTAAACCATGCCTCTAAACGATGCCTAGGTATTGTTTTAGAGAGAACTACTTTGAGAAATACAAAACAAACAAGGGAACAAGCACACAGTTAAGCAGAGTGACAATCAGGGAATTGCTCCCTGCTCCTCTTTTCCTCAGCAGAGTCTTTGCACCCCCAGCATTTCAGCAGGTGAACAGTAACAAACTACAGAAGATTTCCTAATAATTCTTAGATGCACAGACCACCGTTCCACTGTAAAACATACCTTCCCTGCCCATGAGGAAAGAGTAAAAGGAAAGGTGATTTATGCTGAGATACACCCAGCCCTGACGGGGAACCTTGCCCTTCCAGTAACTGCAGGAGTAGTAGTTCACTAATTTCTCTTCTTCCGGCATCCCAAATAGCTTGTGAAATTTCACTATAGCTTCCTTAAATTTTTCTGTATCGTCATCCTCCTTGATGCCATTGATTTTGTTGTACTCAGCGATGATGCCCTAGTAGGGGGTGAAAGAAGTACATAGCATGTTAGTTGCCATGGGGTATCAGATATCCTTATTACCATTGCTGTCTGGGCCAGAGGCCACAACAGTTACTGGAATGTCAAGGAAGTCTTTTGCTTATCTCTTATTCCTTTGCTTATATAGTTATTTACTTTATTCAAGGCTGTCTTTCTGATGACCTTGCTCCCTACCATGCCTATGTCAAAAGCAACCAAACACGAACCACTTGCCAGTACCCTGTTTTAAATTAACCAGCCTATCTCAAATACTCCTACCAACTCTCTAAAGCACCTATGATTTGTAATATTTTCCCCTTCCAAGTAAATATGCTCCCTGAGGAGACAGGGATAGGATTTCACCAGAAAATTTTCTTCTAAAAGGAAGAAAAAAAGTAAAAGGAAAAAAGGATCTGTTATTCATTAGGGAAAATATCAAATGACTTTTATGACTCCTCTTAGCGGACCTTGAGCAAAAGAGAAGAGCAAGAGGAAAAAAAGAAATATCTCCTATTAGATTAACTGGCAGGATGGAAAAATCATTCACACTTTCAGATGCAGAAGACCTTCATCAAATTTGAAGTGGCAGCAGTCTGGTGAAAAGCTGCTTTTTGATACCTCAAAGACTACGGTTCCTTCTGTTCTATTCTGAAGTTCTGGTCTATTTGCTTATTTTCCCAGTCTCTTATAAATCTTCTCCATTACATAGAAAATTGTCAAAGTTTAAGACAGAAGCAATAGTGCAATTAATTTTAGAACATACAATGTTTGAAGCCCTGCTTATATTTTTTTTATATAT